GAATGAAAAGTTTATCTTTTATTCGTTACTCGAGGTTGTTATCTAAATAAGAATTTCACCCGTCTCTGCTTCTGGACAGCATTATGTTTCTATTATGCAAGGCTCCGCCCCTGAAAGTCACCGATAATAACATTTATTGGATGTTACCGCGGGTAAGGCAACGGCAGAACAATTTACGTTCCCTTTGATGCCTCAGCTTCTTTTGACGACGGCTCGAAAGGATCGCGAAACTCTTTTGAGAGACGCGTTTTGTGCCCGTTGCGCTGAAAGGGAGACTCTCCGGTTGCGAAACCATCGAAAACGATGCCGCGGGCAATCGTTAATAATAAGGGTGTATTATGAGTCGCGGAATCAGAGTGTAGCGTGCAATTACGTGTCAATTCCGTCAACGAATTTCGTTACGCCGCAGGACGCCTTCGATGGCCAAAAAAAAAAAAAAAAAAAAAAACGGGCTTTGATCGCGTGGAAATTCTGCACGGAGTTAAAGATTGCCCCTGCGTGATGTTCACGATGGTAGGGACATCATACTTTTAACAGCGATGCTATTAATCCAATTTTCGCGTGGTACTTATACCCAGTAGACATCGGAACCCCAAGAGTTAACTCTCATATCTTACCTCGGTCATCGTTACGAATTAGGCACAAGAGGATGACTTCGAGATGAAACTCTAACGCTGGTAAGTTATTTTGTTCTGATAGTCTAATCAGAAATAACAGAGGGTACTACTACTTCAACCAACTTACAGAAGTCTCCAGAGATAAATAAACCTCTGAAAGAAGTACAAGTAAACAAAAAGTTGAGAATCACTGTTCACGGAGGAGTCAAGGTGAGAGGGTAAAGTTCAACGAATTGCTGTTCAACAAGTCAACCCTGTACAATTTTGGAGTAGCGATTCGGAGTCCCTGGGCGGCGTCACTGAAAGACTCCCCGAGTTCTCAAAGATGCCCACGAGGCAGTAACTTAATATAACTCCCGCTCCATTATGTATCCGAACGAAAGAGAACAAATAGAGACACCAGAGGGTTACATCGCACCCCCACGGCTTTGGTTATTCCCGCGCCATTGTTTCGCGGATACGTGCAAGGCAGCCGCGAGTCTAAAAGGCGCGTACAGGCGCACACATGCTCGGTTTACACGGCAAGCTGCAACAGCCCAAGCCTCGTCATAACGGTCGTCGACGAGGTTATGGGGAATACGGGCGACAGGACAGGCAGCCCAGGCCATTATTGTGTACGGACGACGATCTTTATGTAAGATCTTACACGGGGGACCCATGGGGTCCTGCGGCGCACGCCCATGCCCGTGGAGGGTGGCTGCGGTTTCACTATTTCTCTCCCCCTCTCTTGCTTCCTCCTTCAGAAGCACCTTTAATCTTTCTCCTCGTCCCTTCTCTGCCTTCCTTTTGCCGCCTCGTAAATCTCTTTAGGTGTTGAAACATTCGAAGGTAGGACGGGTTTTGTGCCACGGGGTCGAACGCGTCGAAAAGAAACGTACCGACTCCTCTCGGACGATAAGGACGTTTGTTCGTTCGACCAAGTTCATTCTTAAATCCGAGAAAGTCTTATTAAACGTGGGTCTAGAATCCGACAGTTTTCAAATTATGTGTGCGTTAGTCTTTGGCCTCCCATAGTCACGAAACTCGACAAAAAACTCGATTTACGCGGTTTCACGGAGAAATCGCGACGATAGGGGTCCCACGAGCGGAGCCAGCAACAGGTGGTAACGAATAGGAGACACGAACGCTCGTGGAAACCAGTCGTGGAATCGTTTCCTTTTTCCTTCGTCTCTATTGGTCATCGATTTGTTTCGATTCGTTGATTTTAATCCATTGCAGGGATTAGCAACACATTCTGTCGTTAAGTTAAAGAATTAGTTCATCCTCAGGGGCTGTAGCTAGGTTTCATTGTAAATGTAGCTACAGTACGGGCTTAGCGGACCCGAGGTATCCCAGCTAAAGAGGGGGGCCAGTGGGCCCCAACCGATATGTAAAGGACTGTAATGTAAGAAATTAAGGATTAATGAAAACGAATGTAAATGTGATACAAAAAAAAACACATGTGCAAGACTAGTGATTTGTAGCAAGCAAGACTAGATCAATAGATGCAATAATCTATATAAAACAGATTACATATGCTTATAAAATAAAGAAAGAAAGAATTATTTCTTGCTCCATTTTTGCTTCCACCAAGATCGCTCGAACGAAACCTTTCGAAGCAGGAACTCACTCGACAAGCACCATGTACCCGATGTTGCTCGAAATCTCCAAAGTAACAGGCGGTCTGTCGTAAAAAGCGAGATCAATCACGGTACCTTTCGATCTTTACGGCCGACCACGGCTGTTGCTCGCAATCTTCACGGTTGACAATTGATACGATCTTCGGTCATTAACGATCTTGTAACTACACAGTCACTCCCCTCGGACACTTGTGTCTTCTTTTTGAACGGTACCGATAAGACTCGTCAAACTCCCACCCGTTGTCTCTCTCAAGAATACCGCGAAGGGATTCGTTAAAAAGGTCCTCCGATTTGGAATTAAAGCTGACATGACTTTTTATTACATTTTCATAAAATCTCGAGACTTGGAATACGCGAGTAAAACAAAGTTGGAATACCACTGTGCCAGAATATAAGTTTTCTTATTTGCAATGAAAATTTAAAATATAAAATGGGAATGAAAATAAATATCATTAGCGTAGGCGTAACTTGTGCAAGTTTTTTTCCGAAAACTGCCCACTACCGACGCACAGTCGGCTACAGGTGCAATAAATTGATCTTCGAGAGAAACGAAGGAAAATGCTGGTGGCGGCAGCGGCGAGGCCTCGTTCACTTGTTAGTCGTCGCGTGTAGAAACACGATAGGTTGGTAGTAGTGACGATAGTTGGTAGGGGCGATCCCTAATGAGGATCCCCTACCATGGACTGCCAACCGACCGACCGCCGCAAAGTAAATGAGCAGGTGCCTCTGGTATGCGCCCCGCCTACGCTTTCCACTTGCTCTTGTCTTCTACACGAGTTGCCCAAGTGCCTCGTCCTTTTTTCCCTGCCTGCCAGGAGATACCATCGCGGAAAAGTGGTTCTTGATATACTACCAAAGTCGACCAGCTCCGACAAATTATTCGTATTCTTCCTCACTCGTTTCGAGAGTCGATTCCAGTCGAGTCGATTACATTAGAGCGTATTAAGCACGGCTAGTGTCATCATTCAGGATTAATACCTCGGTGAAACGGCTTGGCGTCTTCGTTAGCGGGTCGCTACATGGGACCCCTAAACGCGAGGATTTCTGAGATGGTGTTGGCAGGCATCACGATAGAGTTTTCAGAGCTCCTATGCAACATCCCATTTATATATTTCCACAGAAAATAATTTCTTCGTAAGTTCTTTTTTCCTTTTCTTCGTCGGTGTTTACTCCCATACAGACCTAAGAGTGTTTGTTAAATTGTCAGTGGTAAAATGTAAGGTGCACGAGTGTTTCAACGATTAGAACTTCGTCAAGTTTGAACACAAAGGTTCGGGAAGACGTATTTGCACGATCGATCCTATTTGCCACTCGTCCATCTCGATCAGCGCGTTTACCTGCCGTCGTCGGTCGTTAGACTTTTCAACCTTGAAGGAAGACCTTCTCAAGGCGAGTAGACGCCGCGACACGTCCGGCTAAATCGGGAGGAGAGTTCTCGGAGCTAGACTCCTCTTCTGGAGTATATACGTGGCCGTGAAGTGGTCTTCGAGACAGAGCAAACGCGCGTGGCCTTTTTAAAATACGTGGCTCGTGCTGTGTTGCGTGTCCACGGTACGAACGTGCAGACGCGACCACGTGTTTGCTTAAAATCTTGACGCATCTCCGGGACGATTTGTTTTCCCATTTCCAGGGCCGCTGCTGATCTCTCCATACACCAAAGTAGATCGAAATGATCGTACAATGTAAAGATAATATTCCACTATTCATCCGATTAGTTTAATTTCGCGTTGTGAAGAGTGGGCATGAACATTATACGAATACATTAAAATATTTCATGCGGTGTGAAATTCTAATTGGGATCTGTATGGATACTCGCGATGCGTTGAAGAGTCGCGTTACCATTATAACGAGATTAGAACGAAAGCCGATCCTGCTCGTTCTCCAAGAGAAGTCATCGTCCGTCCTTCGTGGATCACGCGCTATTGGTGACACACGTACCGCTCGTTTCCTTTTTCTCGATCCTCTTTTGTGCCCACACCCGCTTCAGAGAAGGACAGACCTAACGCGTCCTACGGACCTTCGTCGCGGTATGTACTTAAATACGTGGAATGAGAAGTCTCCTCATCTCGGACGACCGACCGCGGTGCATCGTATCGTATTCTGCCGCCATTTGTCTTCGCGATCCGGGATTACGTTACCACGATGATACACGATGACATTTATTTTGGGATTTGTACGGGCCTGTCGTGGGCCCTTTTCTCCGCAGTGTATCTTGCGTGAACGCGTCTTTCGTCGGACTGCCTACGCGTTCGTCTTCTAACGATCAAAGAATATTCTCATGCTTACAATTTTAATAGGGAAGAGTTATTATTTAGCAGGAAAGAAAGTTACCCATTCTGGTTGAGACTATACTCCAACACAAAAATGAAAAGGGATGCACCCAAAGAGTCAAATAGAAACGAATTGTAGAGGATAAAAGTTCTCAACTAATAACACTTTTTATCCTTGGTTCATCCCTCGTAACTTTCACTCGTAAACCTTAATCCTCTTCCTAAAATTCGACATTGTTATCGATCACCGGATATTTACGACCCTTAACACGTCCGTTATCTAAACACAGCGCGACAGAAGATCGATCGTGGCTCGCGATCCGACAATTTAACAATCGCGCGAAGATTGTGTAAACGCAGATGCCGGTTAAGAAGCCACCCCTACCCCTCGAGATACGGAATAAAAAGGGAGCGCGTGGCAAAGATCAAACAGCTGGATCATCTCGTGCGTGCGTGCCTTTGGGTAAGGATCTTTTTCTTGCGGAAAAGGTGGGTACACGCTCGACCCAGGTGCAACTTCGGAAACCTTGGAAGGCGTGCGTGACAATGCGCGTATAGCGCGTGTGGGATTCGTCGTGACGTGAAAGTCGCTTGCGAGAAAAGAAAAGTACGGCTTCTCTCCCAACGGAAGATGACGTTCTTGCCCCCCTCCCTCTGGAACCGCAAGAAAAATGAAAAAATAAATCGATTAAATTCTCGAATATATTTACGTTCCGTAGTTTCATTTTTCTTTTAAGAAACACAATTTAACGACACGGTACTTTATATGAAATAAATAGCTAAAACGTGTCCACGAAATATATACATTTTTATTTACAATCATGCATCTTTGCTTAAAATTGTCTGGCATTTCTCGGATATGTATGAAGATTTCCTTTGGCACTCAAAGGGTTAAACTAGCAGGGGTAGCATACTCTGTTAATACCAACGTGGAAAACTTGTTGGAAAATGAAGTGAACGGGCGTTGAATATATTTCACGGCACACGAGCTCCTAAAATAAATCGACTCGAGTATTCTGCACTTTACGGTTCTCCGTGCGGTATTGGACCGGCACGTCGGTTCTTCCGTTAAGAAAAAAGAGAAAAAAAGAAGGTAAATACCAGCGTCTAGAAAAAATTCAAATGGTCGAGCCGACTACTTAGCGAGTACTCTCGACATAGTGGACACGTGTCTAAAGCGTGGCTAGAACCTTAACCACGTGTCAATATCTCAAGGGACTTTTGTTTACGAAAGTCATAGAGGAGGCGAGACGCGTTAGACATTTTTATCGAAGATCGCCAGGAAGAAGTCGCCGAGTACTTACTTACGCCTACTGTGTACATTGTACGGGCTAGAGCTAACACTTTTCGCGCGTAAGAAAAAAAAAAAAGTGTAACTAAAAAGACTCCGAAAGATAAAGCGTCGAAAAACGTGTTCTATGAACGTTTCACGATTGCAGGGGTGGTCGCTGGTGTCATCGAATTCTGTGTTTACCTACGAACGCGGTCGAAGTAAAAAAGAAACGCGGTCACGTGACCTCTCGAACGCACGCTTGTTGCACGCAGCTGATAAAAAACCGCGGTAGGCAAAAATGGATGCCACCGGTTCTACTCACTTGGTCGTGACGCGCAAGAAACGCACCGATCCCCGTTAATTCCTAGGATTCTCGGCGTCCAACGCGTACGTCGCGACGTTCCCTATCGAAGAGCTTTTGCGCGCGCAAGCACGCACCCTAGTCGCGTGGGCAGTCCCGAGCGGAGAAACCAGTAAAAGAGACTTCCCTCTCTGTCGTCTCGTTCCTTCTCTACCGCGGAACGAATCCACGGTTCTCCATCTCTGTCTGGCAATCGGTTACCTTGCCGGTAAAAACAGCACGAGGTGGTCGGTGGCGCGAACGAGGGTAGGGGGATAGGCGTGGTTCCATTCACGTAGGTGCACTCGGAAGTGATAGTGTACGTGCGCCCACCTCGCGCTTATCAAGCTCGGTTAGGCCGATGCGTACACGAAGAGGGGCGAGTCTTCCCGAACATCATCGGCGGTGGGGGTAGTTGGCACGGGTTGAGTAGTGGGGAGAGAAGGGGAGTTAAGGTTCGCACACACGGGTATCGGTGGGGATGCCGCCTGCACACGTGTGGTGGAAGAGAGAGATGGAGCTTGAGAGAGGGGGCGAGGGAGTCGAACACGGCCGAAGGTGAAACCCGCGAGTCGACGTAGCCTCGCAGTCGGCGCGAGACCGCGCTACTGGAAGGGTCGGTGTGTCGTCATATATATATATATATATATCTATATATATGTGTGTATGTACGCAACGCCTCTCTCAGATTCTCTCTTTCCACCACTCTCGTTCACAGTCGCCGCACTCGAGACAAGCAACAGCGATCAAACAAAACCATTTGACCGACAGAGTTTAGAGATAACGCGAGGAGAGAAGAGACGAATCGTGGCAGCGTGTCGCGTACCACCCTTCTCTTGTCAGCTTGTACGCAAATCGGAGTACGAGGGTTGACTCGCACGCGATCGAACACGAAAACCCACCGATCGCTGTAGGATACATACGGTTCGATTGTCGTCGGAATTGTGATCCGAAGAAACGCACGATCGGTTTTGGATACCGACGGGGGACCGAAGAAGTCTGTGATTCCGATGTGCCTGGTTGTATATTATTTACGAAACGTAATTGGAGCGTGTTTGTGCTCGCGAACAGAACTGGGAAGTGCGTGCGCACAAACGTGTGTTCACCGAGCGAAGGATACGCTTTCCGTGACGATCGATCGTCTAGATCGGAGGGGAATCTGTAGATCCTCCGGGTTGTTCGTAGTGCCATTTCTTCGACAGGAGTAAATTAAGTCGATAGACGGAGACGTGTGCCGGTGCTGCTGCCGACAGATAGGAAAACGAAACGAATGATAAGACGCGTATTGTGTGTGATATTCGATCGCGATCGATCAACGGAGGATTGGTGTTGATTTGTTGTTTAATGTTAGCCGTATTATTATCTCTCGGGTTGTGTTGCCGTCCGTGGAAGAAACTCGTTGCGACGGGCCGGAGATGATCGCTGGCTGTGATAACGAACGCTTTTCGTTCGAGTAAGTTTAGTGCCTGCCTCTGTGATTCGTGACATTATTGCCGTCGCTAGTTACCTACAAAGCGCCCGTCGAGCCTTTCTAAGTGTCACACCCTGGAAGGAGTTGAATTTCGAGAGCATCGGATGCGCGGGAGCTTTTAACGACCACCAGGTAAGCCACTGCTAGGCGAGTTTCTTTCGTTCGAGTGCAACATAATTATTTGTCACTTTTTAAAATGTGTTATAGCTTGCCAAATTGAAACATGTGATTCAATAAAGTCTAGCGTAAACGACAATTGAAAGTTTCGAGATAAGAGTACGTGTTACATTGTGATTTTTTTTTGCTTTATAATCGGAGTAAAGATGACTCTCGGAGTTCATTATTTCAAATAATACCTGAGATTACAATTTTTGTTGTATAAACGATACGATATATATCAATGATGTATGTGTACATACAAAAATGTTATCTCATTGATTAAAAAAAATGGCAAATAATTATTGTACTATAGTCAATATCACGTAATGTTGATATTGACGTAAATCGCTTCGAAGAGATCCACGCGTTATCTGTGATGTCAAGTGTCCGTGCGACAGGGTTTTTCGACGATCGTTAAATCTTTACAATGTAATTATCGATACGAATCGACGAATCCATCGAATCGAAACTCGTGTGTTCAGTGGGATGTTATTCCTTTATGGAGTCGAAGATATAGTGGGTGTCGAGGTCCCATCGAAAGAAAAAATGAATAAAGAATATGTTGAAATTCAATCACTGTATATTTATTCACTTTTTTTTTTTAAATATATGTGACAGATCCTACTTTAGTCACAAATTAGGATCGAATTTAAAACAATGACACGTTATATTTTGTCTTACGCCCTGTGCAAGTGTATAACGCGCCACTGCTCCGATACGTACAATTACACGAAAATAAAGTTTGATGTGAAAACAGTTTAGTAAATAAGCCAATAGTTGATATCAAAGCCTCTTTTTTTGTTCACCCTCTGAGGAGTGCGTTTATAATCCGTGTCACCACAACTCGCCTTCCCATCGTCGCGTGCGAGGGCGGTTTAGCATCGTTGCGCCCCAGGCTCGTTGGAGCGTCGCGGTGCTGAGCGTCGGAAGTAGAGCGGATGCGCGCGTTAGGGCGAACGCGTACGAACAGCTCTTTTTACGCTCGACCTTTTCCCTTCTACGACGACGTAACTGAATTTATAAACTCGTTTAAATTTACCATCGACAGATCAAACTGTCCATGCGAAGACGATTCTTTCTCTAGAAATTATTACGTTTCGATTCTTGAATTTGATTCATCTCCAACCTAATAAATATTACAATTCAAATTCAAGTTAAATCTTGTGCTTTGATCCTCGTCAGGGTAGAGACAGTTTTGAATAGTCTTAGTATAAATATGTTCGTATTGTGGGTGGGAAAAGTTCGAGTCTACCTCTTAAAACAAGTCGAGAAGTGTTTACTTAGCATGTAAAAAGGAATCGTGTTAAGCATATATTTTAAATTTAAATTTGTTCGACCCTTTATGTCCTCATAAAATGAGTTCACTTACTAAATTATTACAAAAATTTAAATAAGATCCAGATTCCATGCACGATAATTAATTAATTATTTCTGGGTTTAATAGCCTCAGGTGCACAAATTAATTCATCGAAGATGTATGTTTAAGGTACGAAGCGAGTATACGATAAAATTAGTTTGAGTAGAGCGACGATAGATCGACAGGTGTACGCTTGAATTTAGGAGGGTAGACTTACCCTATACGCATATAGGGTTGACGCGCAATCATGGTATGCAGGTATTCCTCGAAACCCTACTTCTAAACATTTCAATCACACTGTCTCCGTTACTTTGTCGGAAAGCTCTGTTGCTCGTACAGTATGTACCTGCAGCGTCACACGTGCGAGGGTGGCTTAATGTCGGAAGTGGAGCGAACACGCGCGTCAGCTCAGCCACGTAGAACGATCTGCTACGACCAATCTCTTTTACGCGTGTCCCTTCACGGCTCGTGACTTTGATGCGCGTGCTAAGCGTGACGTACGCGTGCTAATCCTTTGTGTCGATGTTACTCGCATACGAGCACCCCGCGCAACCGTTCGACTAAAAATTCCCCCCGCGTAAAACGAAGTTCGCGGAGCAGATCTGAATTTAGTTCACCCTTTTCACCCACGTTTCCGTCGCGTCTTCGTTGCTTGTTTCGTCATAACGCAGATGTACAAATTTATCTAAATCTGTCTGGATAGGAACTCGCGAGTGTTCAAAATTAGAACTACCGTTCATCGGGTTTGACATCTTCAGACTTAAATTATTGCCACTGAAATCTCGAACTTTTAAGTCAAGGGATGCTTGCTTCGTTTACTAGTATTTTCAAGTAAAACAATCTTACAGCTCCGGGAAGATCTTGACAGAATAACATTCGATGCTCGATTATTTCATTTCAAATCGATTAAAACACGAGCATTTTTGAAATAAAGTTGTTTAATCGAACAAAATAACGTGTTCTCTGACGTGGAAACGCAATCAGAGTTTATTGACGTTCGCAGTGGTCAACGCAACGCTAATCGTGCGAACCATGACTCTATTGTTTTAATCGGCCCTATATAACGACAAGTCAGCGCTGTTTCGTCGCGTGAGAAAGAGAGACGACGCGAGACAGTGCACCAGGTGTCAGGTGTCACGGCTGTCCGGTTTCGTTTGCAAACACGCAGAACAACAAAAACGTTTCTTGTCGATCCTTCTCGAGTGCTCTTCCAGGTGGTTGCTACTGGCGTGTGCTTCTGCGCGCCGCGAGAAAATATTGTTTTTGCTCGTTGACTCCATAAAACGCCACTCGAACTCGATTATTTTTTCCTTTCTTTTTTTTTTTTCTTCTTCTTTTTCCACGCCGTGAATCGTTAATATATCAACGAGGGGCACTGTTACCGCTACATTCTAGCGACAGCGTTTTTTGCGCGCTGTGTTAGCGCAACGCGGACGTCTGGACTTGCACGACAGGCGTGCCAACGTATCCCTGCGTTCCATTGGTCACCGTTCTCCGTTCCATTGGTCTAATTCTGGTCTCATTGTAAGTCATTTGCACAGAGTGTAGATACACGCCCTTCGCAATGCCTGGCTCGTATAAAATCAGCGCTACGTTTTATGTATTTACACGCTTGTTAATTCTGAATAATTATAGAAACACTAATCGAATATTAAATTACGTGGAAAGCGTGAAGTCTATGTAAAATTGAAAAGTTATCGGATATCGTGTCTTTCGTAATTGAATCGTGTTTAAAAAAACCTTATAATACAAATAGGAGACGTGAAATAGTAAATGAAATAAAAATTTGTCATTTTAAAAATGGTACGGTCAGCTTCGGTGAGCGAGACGAGTACATTTTATTGGCTGAAATGGAGTAAACGTGATCTGAAACGAGCACGGTTGGTAGGTAACCCTACTTGGGACCGATCTTCTCAGAGGTCGTACCAGCGAAAAAGATCGCGGAGCGCCGCCCATCGGGCGACTTGTCATTCGTCGATCCGTATCTTCGCCGACGATTTATCGTGCTTTATGCACATATTCGCGCCCGCCGGTCGCTTGAGCGTTGCTTACGCGCCGCATGCGGGCAGCTGCATCAAGACCAGGGCCGTCCTGCGCATAATGATACATTGCGCCGGACATGAAAGTTATAAGCTTTAATTCGAGGCTCGCGCGATTCCCCGTACGGTGACCGTATATCGATCGCCAATTTGCTATGCAGATCCAAGGCCCTTTCGGTGCGCTCCCTGATGCAGCCCCTGCAATCTTCCCCCTGTCTCCAGCCCCTTCCCTCGTCTCTCGTAAGAGCCCTCTTGCTCTTTTCATCGCGGCGGGAACAGTCGCCGCGCAGAAATAGAATAAGCGAGGATTAAAGTGCGCGCTATCTTCGCCGATAAGATTATACGTGGCTCGGATCCGAAGACGATTACGCGCAGGGCTTGTCGTTTGCCCGGTTCTCTCGTCTCCCGTCGATGCTCACGACCTACAGGGGCGTTCGCGAAAACTTATGCCCGATTCCCATCGGAGATTGGCAACCCTCTATTCAAGTAACAGACAACGAATAAAAACATCCTCCAGCGATGTTCGAGCCTTTCGGTTCGGGAAATCTCTCGTAAGAATACACATATACTTGTTAAGAATGTACTTAGTTAATGGTTCGCGACTTTATGGATGAACGATGTTTTTTTTTTTTGCAATATTTACGTCTACCGACTGTGTATCGAGTAAGGGAAAATTGATGGTCCGATGAAGCCCTAACTCGTTCTGTGTCTGGTTTTCCACGGAGGTTGTAGCAAGGCGAATTCGCGTGGTGTCGATAAATCGATCCCGGCTGATTGAACCGGATCCACGGATGAAATGAACGTCTTCCTCGGGCGGCCGCAGACCCACGCTGGCCGCAAGAAGAGAAAGAGAAAACGATCGGGACCGGTATCGGGATCGTTGCCGATTCGTTCGTTCGTGCGGGATGTTCGAACATGAGCAATCTCTTGTGGCGCGGCGCCGCAATTAGGAAATCCATTTGGCGTAATTGCGCGAACGAGCGCTGCTCGCCCGGTAGCTCGCCGCTGCGCAGCTACCGCGCTTAATCAAACGCCCGTAGTCATCCACTTGGCCATTTACCTATACCTATAGACCAGTGGTTCTTCACCTTTTTAAGCATGCCGCACGCCTTAGAAGATTCTTCGTGGCACATGTCAAGATTTGAAAAAAATGACAACCATTTTATTGGCTCGCAGGAGTGTGGCTATTAGAATTCATTTATAAAAGCCAAGGATACCGAAATGGCTCCACTTTGAAGAACCATATTCTACAATTTTTTAGAACATTGAATTTCTTTGAATTTCACAAATACAGACACCTTAGAAACATCTAAGTTCTCTTTCTAAATAACAGTTTCTTTCTGTAACAATCAGATTCATAAGTATCAAGGAATATCCCTGTTTGACTGAAGGACTATATGAATTAGATCTGCTCGTGAATATTCGAGGCACGGTGTAGCCTCCTTCGAAGTATCCTGACGGTGTACCGCGGCACAGTGGTTAAGAATCACTGTTGCAGACCGATATCGAGTGCTGCCAGGCGTACTTGTTCCGTTCGGTCCGCGGTACGGATGCACACGGTTCGCGAGATACGCATC